TTTTAAAAGACCCCAGATTCTCTCTCTCATTCCCTTCACAGGTCATCACAAGCCATCCACAATGAAAAAGTATAGATAGGCAGTATAATAAAAAATGCAAAGTTGGCCACGTTTGTGTGGTTCCCGTCTGCCGCCAAAGCGTCACACTTGCACACATACATAAGGGGATGGAGGGCAAAGGGCAAATTACCTAAGACAGAAGACGACTCCAGCAAGAAAGCACTGACCCGACCCCCTCAAAGGTCCGAAAAAACGTGGAGAGCCTTCCGCCATGGCCCACAAAACCAAAAACTCATTTATCAAAAACAAACAAATATAACAGCATTGGCATTCCCGACCTTCATCTCAAACTACACACTCGCGTCACTGCCAAAGAGGAGGAAGAAGATTAGAGACAACTTACCTAAGAGAGAAGACTCCTCCAGCACAAGAACGCACCGCCCCCCCTGCTAAGGGGTGTGTGTGTGTGTGTGTATTTTTGGTGTGTGCTTCAATGCACCCATGGCAAGTTTCACTATGCCAGGTATGATCTCCGATGACGAATCATTGGCACACCTACAGCTCGGGTATAATTCGCAAGTATGGTAGGCATTGTCTATTGTGCCGAAAAAAAGCATCTACGTCGAGTTTCAGAGAAATACCACGTTCTCATGAAAACACCGCTGCTTGTTCCTCGTTCAACAACCATTGCAACTAGTGATCGTCCATACCGCAACCATTAGCCGTTCTTTTATGGGATTCAACTTCTTTTTCTGTGTTTTTTTTGTAAGAATCGCGTGGCGGGCGAAGGTAGGCTGGCCCAAATAGCGGGTTGCTAGGACGTCTTTTTTGTCTCGCTTCCCCTACCATGGCGTGGGAAGACTACTCATGCGTTCCCGAATTGAAGTGGCCGTTATGTAATCAAAGGGGTTTGATGGCCCCGCGTCTTGCTATTACGTCGAGATCCTGGTTCGTGCGCAGGGCATTGCGGGTAGTGGAGGTTGTGATCTGATCGGTCCTTGCCTTTCTCAGGGGTCAGGCCGCGCCCGACTTCTTCATATGGCATGGGTTACTGATCGTGTCGTGCCTAATCTCTACTCTTAGTACCAAGGGAATGGACCAGAAATCAGCTCATTGTTACGCGATGGGTTACGGGTTGAATCGCATGCAGTCCTTACGAAAGGTATGAATAGGAAGCCAGCCAATCGCAACAGGTGTTCAAATCATACTAACGCTTCGGAGAATCGGGAATTGCTATCCTAGAACGGTATAACCGAAGTATATCTATATCCGGCTATGTGCCCCTGATCCTTCTTACTAGTAATAGTAGGGGAATGGGGTAGAAGTCGAGCACTTGGATCCTATTTATCGTGCTACGATCACGTGCAACTGTTGTACGGCTCATCAAGATCCCGATGCGTAGAAGCAGGCAGCTAAAGTTCTCTGTTTCTACGCATCATAGGTTTTTGGACCTTTTTTTGCTACAATCCTTTTTCTCGGATGAATGAAGGAAACACCGATCCCCTATCGCGTGGAGAGAATCATGGAGGAAAGCATAATTATTCAGAAATTATGAGGTTTTGATTATAGACATGAAAACCGGTTCGCTATCGACAGCTGAAGTGATGTCACAGGGAGTCATCCACCAGCCCTGGAGGGGTTTATGTGGATCATCGCTTGTCATATCGTTGGCAGATGCGGAGGGTTGAGCGAAAGAAGCCCCATACGTCTTAAAAAAAGGGGTTCATTCAGGTTTACTACTCCTATCGTGTGCTCGGGGAATCGGTAAGCTTTAGCAATCGCACACGAAGTGGTTTAATCCTATATGGTGATAAAGCAAATACCTCGATGCACTGTCTCCATGCACACGTGCGAATCAGCCAGAGTCTCCAGTACTACAGCACTAGCTTAACTATATTGCAAAAGACATCGTCACACCATGCACTAGCGAATATTAAATTTTGCAGAACAGAAAGCGAATCACTTCGTCATTACGGCACTCGTCCAAGCACATCGTAAAAAGAGATCGTCACAAGTTCAAGCACATCGTAAAAAGGTGACTAGAGCGGGGAACCATGTCCCACAGTTTACGGGCGCCGTGTAGCAAGGAGCAATCTGCCACCTGTTGGGTGGTTTCAGGGGATCGCTGCTTGTCGCATGGCTTTAGCGAATCTGTAGGGACGTGTCTCCATGCTCACCCACATGCGAATCAGTCAGAATCTTCAGTACTGCAACACTGGTTCAAGCATATTGCAAAAGATAACGTCCTACCACGCACTAGTGAATATTAAATCTCGCAGAACAGAAAGTAATTCACTTCGCTATTTCGGCACTTGCTCAAGCACATCATAAAAAAAATCGTCACATGCTCAAGCACATAAAAAAGTGACCAGAGCAGAGAACCATGCCCCACAATTTACGGGCGTCGTGCAGCAAGGAGCCATCCGTCACCTGTTAGGTGGTTTTCAGGGGATCGCTGATTGTTGCATGGCTTAGTGAATCTGTAGGGACGTGTCTCCATGCTCACGCACACATGCGAATCGGTCAGAATCTCTAGTACCAGCACAAGCTTAAGTATATTGCAAAAGATCTCGTCACACCATGTACTAGCGAATATTAAAAGCGAATCACTACGTCATTACGGCACTTGTTCAAGCACATCGTAGAAAGAGATCGTCACATGCTCAAGCACATCGTAAACAGAGATCGTCACATGCTCAAGCTCATCGTTAAAAGAGATCGTCACACAATGCATTGTCAAACATTGAATTTTGCAGAACAGAAAGCGAGTAACTCATCATTCCCAGTATTCCGGCACTCGTTCAAGTACATCACAAAAAGAGGGATTGTCACATTGTGCACTGCCAAACACTAATTCTCACAGAACAGAATGCGAATCATTACTTCCCGTACTGAGGCACTCACTCAAGTAAATCGTACAAGGGATCATCAGACCAGAAAACTGTCACATTGGAACTGCGCAAAGGCATAGCTGTTCTCTCCAGCGCCGAAATTTCTAATGATACCTTCAGTTGAATCCCAGACGGATGAACGGCAGCAAGTGGGGGGGAAGAGAGGGGATGGGGTCAGGAAAAGAATAGAATCCTACACTATGCATCTAGACGATCCTGTTACTGCTCAAGACGAGAGGACCAGAATGCAGATCCACAGGAGGGAGCGGCACTTCCCTGAGGCCTTTCTGCCGCACGCCACGTGCGGCTTCATCAGAGGGAGAACCCTTCCTTTGTCGTCGGAAGGGGGGTCTTAGAAAAGAGAGCGGGGCGGGAGGGGAGACGGGAGAGAGGACAAGAAAGAGTTCAGGGAGGGGGAGGAGGGGAGGGGGAAGTGGAAGGGGGAGGGGGGAGAAAAAAAACAATAGATCTCTCCCTGTACGACATCAGCTCGAAACAACCCGAAGCAGCAGTAAACCTCCGAAAATCGTGGCGGAAGCTGTGCATGCCAAAAATACTGCGACATACGCTATGGAGCAGCAAAGAAGTGCGGTCGCAAGCTTGGCCGGAGCGAGTAGCACTCTTTCAGTTTGGCAAGCCCAGACCAGTGCTCCGCTAAGTAGCGCATTAGGCAATAGTGCTAGTGCAAGCGTGGAGGCGCCGAAGAGGACAAGTGCGGTTCGCTGCGCGCAGGGATCCATTGCTGGTGAGGGGCTTGGCAACAGGCCATGGATAGAAATGG